CTGTGGCCACAAAAAGAAAAGCTGTCCTCAGGAAAAGTGAGACCCATCTGGCAGGTGAGGCTCTCTACTCTTAAACCCACTTTAGATCATGATATATTCTGGCTGGGCTCTCTGAAAGGACAGATGAAAATGAAAAAAACATGGGAAGATGCTAAAAAAATTTGGAAGTTGCAGATTGGTGGGGATATCTAAGTTGTTCCAGTTGGTAGCGGGGGTGGTATGTCAAGGCCACAAGGCTGATTCCCAGTGAGCATGTAAAAGCATTACGTGCTCACAGTGGGGATTCAAACATGCCTGGGCATGTGGCTTTAGCACAGTGAGTCTCTGGGAGTGTCAACCAAACGTAGGACCAGCAACTAAGACAAGGTGATGATGGTGATGGCTGCTATTGTCTGCGCTCTGCACCTGTGCTTTGGCAGCAGTGCCAGCTTTGGGCACTGGGACAGGAGCATGACCTTCTCACTGGGCATGGTTGGAAGCCCTGGACATCATTTATTAGAGGTTAAAAGAGCTGTTGAGACATCCTAGGGACAAAGGAAATAGAAAATAAGAGAAACATGAAGAATCAGAGAGGAAGACTTTTTTTTTTTTTTTTTTTGAGATAGGGTCTTGTTCTGTCACCCAGACTAGAGTGCAGTGGCATCATCATAGCTCACTGCAACTTCAAATGCCTGGGTTCAAGGGGATCCTGCTGTCCTAGCCCCCTGAGTAGCTGGGACTACTGGTGCATGTCACCATGCCCAGCCAATTTTTAAATTTTTTATAGAAAAGAGGTCTTACTATGTTGCCAAGGTTGGTCAAGAATTCCTGGCCTCAACTGATCCTCCCACCTTGCCTTATCCTCCCAAAGTCAGGGATTACAGTGTGAGCTACTGAGCCCAGCCTTAAGGGAGAAATTGCTTCTACTTGCAATCTGTAGTTTCATGTTAATAGTATGTGATATTGTGAAATATGTATTTGGCCTTTGTCCCTGTTTCCTGGCATACAACACCTAACATCCTTGGAATCTCCAAAGTGCTGTCCTTTTGTATGCTAATTCCAAGATGGGGCTGGTCACCAGAAAGATAAGGCATGATTAGAGAGTTGGGACTTTCAGCCCCACCCCTCCAACCTCCAGGAAGAGGAAAGGGGCTGAAGATTAAGTTGATCACCAATGGCCAATGGTTAAATCAATCATGCTTACATAATGAAGCCTCCATAAAAATTCGAGAGGACAGAGTTTGGGGAGCTCCTGGATAGCTGAACATGTGGAGGTTCCTGGAGGGTGGCACCTCTGGGAGGGCATGAAAACTCTACATCCCTTCCCCCATACCTCACCTTATGCATTCCTTCATCCATATCTTTTGTAATATCCTTTATAATGAACCGGTGAACATACATAAACGTTTTCCTGAGTTCTGGAGCCACTCTAGCAAATTAATTAAACCCAAAGAGGGGATTGTGGGAACCTCAACTTGAAGCTGGTTGGTTAGACGTTCCAGAGTCCCAGACTTCTGACTGGTGGGAAGGGAAGAGGAGGTCAGTCTTGGGGACTGAACTCTCAATCTGTGGGACCCAATGCTATTTCCAGGTAGATAGACTCAGTATTTAATTAAAGGATGCCCAACTGGTGTCTATTGCTTGGTGTGTGGGGAGAACCTCCCACATTTGGTCACAGAAGTCTTGTGATAGTACTGAAAGTTCAGCAGTTGTCCCCAAAGCTGCATCAGAAGAACAAGGACAAGTAGTTTGAGGAAAAGGAAAGAAATGTTTATTAATTTGCCAGCAAATCAGGAGGATGTCATACTCTCATCTTAAAAAACCATAGTCATCTCCATAAGCAGAAATACAGAGCTATTAAAGGGAGTTTTCAGCTTCGTGCTATTGCTAACTATAGCATCTCTGGTGAAGACCAGGAAATGGTGAAGAATGGACAATTCCATTGAGCCATCTCCTGTGGTACAAAAAAACCCAAAGAACACTCCCCTGCCCTTCCAATTTATTACTGGTCTCAGGCAGGAATATGGGTTTTAATTCCCAAAAAGAGTGTGTGTGTGCTGGGAGCAGGGGGAGGGGGGATGTTAAAGAGAGCTTGTAACATTTTACCCTTTTATTAGGCCCTTACTTCTGTTATATTCTGTGTTTATTATTGTTGAGGGAAAGCAGAGTAAAAGCAGCATTTGGGAGTTTTTCCCACAGTCATATATTTGGGTTAAGGCCTACTCAAATTTAATAATCTGACTCTGCTTTTTACAACTCTAAGTCAGCTCATAATCCATGGGATTCTCCATGATATTTTCCTTTAAGTCATAATCCAGTGTTTTTCAACCCTGGCTAAACATTAAAATCTCTCAGAGAATAACAAACAAACAAACACCAATGCCTGGGTGGATAAAATCAGAATCTAGCAGTAGGACCGAAGAATCAGATGTTTTAAAAGCTTCCTAAGATCTTCTAATGAACAGCCAAGGTAGAGATCTATTGTTCCAACAAGAACAGTCAGAAGCTTTCTGGAACAGTTCTTTTTTTTTTTTTTTGAGACAGAGTCTCACTCTGTTGCCCAGGCTAGAGTGAGTGCTGTGGCATCAGCCTAGCTCACAGCAACCTCAAACTCCTGGGCTCAAGCAATCCTCCTGCCTCAGCCTCCCGAGTAGCAGGGACTACAGGCATGTGCCACCATGCCCGGCTAATTTTTTCTATATATGTATTAGTTGGCCAATTAATTTCTTTCTATTTATAGTAGAGACGGGGTCTCGCTGTTGCTCAGGCTGGTTTTGAACTCCTGACCTCGAGCAATCCGCCCGCCTCGGCCTCCCAGAGTGCTAGGATTACAGGCGTGAGCCACCGCGCCCGGCCTGGAACAGTTCTAATTTTAATGTGCATACCAATCGCCCAGTTATCTTGTGAAAATGCAGATCTTGATTTGGTAGGTCTGGTTTGGGGCCTGTGATGCTGAATTGCTAACAACCTCTCCTAGTGATGCTGATGGTACTGATCTGCAAACCACATTTGAGTATAAAAAGAATCTAAGAAAATTGAGAAGGTGGTTAATTCCAGAAGAGAGTGGGCAGAGATAAGTAACAAAATAATAAAATATTTTTATAAAGAGGGCAAAACAGACAGTGTATAGGGTCTCATTTCATATGATCAAATTTTTTTAACTTGATCACTGCTATGATTAAAATGTTTGTGTTCTCCTAAAATTCATATGTTGAAATCCTAACCTCCAAATCAATGGTATAGAAAGTGGGCCTTTGGGAGGTAGAGTTAGGTCATGAGGGCTAATAGGATTAGTGCCCCTATGAAAGAGTCCTGAGGGAGCTCATTCATCCCTCATGCAAGGTGAGGCCACAGGAAGAAGATGCCATCTATGGAGTGGGCCTTCATCAGACACTGTATCTGCTGGTACTTTGTTCTTGGACTTCCCAGCCTCCGGAACTATGAGAAATAAATTTCTGTTATTTACAAACCACCCAATTAATGGTATTTTGTTATAGCAGCCCAAATGGACTAAAATAGTCACCTAATCTAAATATTCTTTAAGGTCAAGGAAATCCTGAAATTGGTAGCATGGAGCTGTCCGCATTGCCACCTCTCAGGCTTGCTATATGTGACTTGTAGTCATATCATATTAGTCCAGAGGGCCTGCTGCAAGTGACATTCTCTAGGACCAAGTTTTAGGCAGTGCAGTTGGAGATGACATTTGGATTGAAATAATAGGGAGGCTGAGGTAGTAGGTAATAAGAAGATCATGAATTCTGAAGGGAGATGCAAGATTAGAAAAAAGGAAATAATTTCTTTGGTCAGAAGACAAGAGGCTGGAGAGTTGGAAAAAATAAATAGTGCCTAAAATGCCAAACTCAGGTGCTCAACAAATGCTGGAGTTCTTCTCCTATGTTGTGCCAGGAACACTGTGTGGAGAGGTCACGTGTTACTTTCTGGCCATATATATCCCTTATTTAGCTCCCACTTATATGTGAGAACATGTGGTATTTGTGTTATTTTTCCATTCGTGAGATATGTCACTTAAGATAATGGTCTACAGTTCAATCCAAGTTGCTGCAAAAGGTACTACTTCATTCCTTTTTGTGCCTGAGTAGGCACAAAAATACTCCATGCATGTATATACCACATTTTCTTAATCCACTCATCAAGTGATAGACGCTTATGTTGATTTCATATCTTTGCAATTGTGAATTGTTCTGCAATAAACATTTAGTCATAGGTGTCTTCTTGATATAATGACTTCATGTCCTTTTGGTAGACACCCAGTATTGGCATTGCTGGATCAAATGATAGGTCTACTTTTAATTCTTTGCAGAATCTCCACACTGTTTTCCATAGAGGTTGTACTAACTTATATTACTACCAACAGCATATAGGCATTCCTTTTTCACCTCACTGATGGTTCATAAGCCAATCTCCTCTGGAAATACCCTCATAGACACATCCAGAAATAATGCTTTATCAGCTATCTAGGTATCTCTTAATCCAGTTAAGTTGACACCTAAAATTAACCATCATACTATCCTTTGTAAAAAAAAATCTATTAATGATATTAATCACCACTTATTAAGCACCAATCATGAATCATCCCCAGGCATTATTCTAGCACTTGATGTGCACTATCTTCAGTTTTTGCAACAATCTTCAGGTAAGCATTCTCTCTGTTTTATAGTTGAGGGAATCGGAAAATTTAAGTGTCTTGCTTAAGGTCATACAACCAGCAATAGTGAAGCTAGAACTGATATCTAAAGTGGGTCCTATGTTTCTTTTCTGAGAACACTTTTCACCTGTTTTTACCTAGGAATGATCATTCTTTTCTTCTAGCATGCTTTTATTTTAGAGTAAATAAGTAAATAAATAAAAGGAAAAATAACCATCAGGACCCTTGGTGAGAGCTAGGTGGTGAGGTATGGTTTAGTGTGCTTGACACAGCCAATTGTATGAAAAGCAACTGAACACCTGGACCAAAGCAACCAGGGAAAAGCAACTAAACACCTGAACCAAATATTTTCTAGGTGCAAGAGCCCAGGTCCTGGTACTGCATATCCTAAGGTGAAGAGAGACAATGAAGTTCAGGAGGCAAAGCAGGACAAATACTCTGATGTAAATTTTTAATCGAATCCCTGCGGTCTAGAACAAATCAGCGGAAACTGTGGGTGGATTCTGGTCTGTAAACTGTTTTATTACCAGTCTGTGACAAGGTAATGAAATGGAGTAATTTCACATCTATTAAATCTAAAAAAAATCTCGGGCTTGTATTTGTCTATCTTTACTTTTTCCTATTCATCCCCTCACTCCCACAATCTAGAACAGAGCCTGACATGTAGCTGATGATGTAGCTGGTACTCCCCGGTTGGCTGGTGGGTAATCAGGAGGGATTGTGGGCAATGGCAAGACCAGGAAACAAAATGGCAGGAACTGGAGTATATCTTCATTTTTTAATTTTCTAGTAATTCATCTTTACTGTGCTTTACAAAAGTGTTGGTCTGGGCCGGGCGCTGTGGCTCACGCCTGTAATCCTAGCTCTTGGGAGGCCGAGGCGGGCGGATTGCTCAAGGTCAGGAGTTCAAAACCAGCCTGAGCTAGAGCGAGACCCCGTCTCTACTATAAATAGAAAGAAATTAATTGGCCAACTGATATATATATAAAAAATTAGCCGGGCATGGTGGCGCATGCCTGTAGTCCCAGCTACCCGGGAGGCTGAGGCAGAAGGATCACTCGAGCCCAGGAGTTTGAGGTTGCTGTGAGCTAGGCTGACGCCACGGCACTCACTCTAGCCTGGGCAACAAAGCGAGACTCTGTCTCAAAAAAAAGCCAGATATTCATATAGAGTCAGTGTAGAAATGGTGTTAGGTAGAGTTGCTAGTCCCCCTAGCCATTTATTTAGCAGCCTAGGAAAGGTGTTAATGTAGTTGGGTTCCCAGAATAAGTCACTGGTTATAACTTTGGAAATTCCTTTTGTTTGCAGTTTCCAGCATTCTAATCATGTACTGTGTCAAGCCATTCCCTGCAGATTCCATCTATCACGAAGGCAAATGTTTGCAGACCAGAAAAGCTGCCTTGGGCTTGTAGGTAAATGTTGAAGAACCACTGACAGTGAATCTTTCTGAGCAGACTACTACTCAGCAAGTGACAAAGGGACAAAGTAGAGTTCACTCCACACAGCTCTAGCCTCGGTATATGTGGAATAGACCCAGCACTTATAGATGGCTTAAGTAATTCCCACCCCTGTTGTTTCTTGCCATGTGGAGGAACAGCAACTGACAAAAGACTTCTAGTCTCCTTAGTACCACCCTCCTAATTTTGGGGGGAAATGGAGAAATGGAGTGAAGGTGGGGGATGACTTAAGCCTGTGTAACCTAGCCCTTCTTCACTCTTTCTCTTAGAGGAAAGTATGCTGTAAATGATAAGGAAGATCCTCATCAAGTTAATACCATGTTTCCCCGATAAAGACAGGGTCTTATATTTATTTTTCCTCAAGAAGACACCCGAGGGCTTATTTTCAGGGGATGTGTTATTTAAGTACGGTACAACAATCTACATTTATTCAAATATAGTTAAGTCGTCTTCTTCTGGAACATCATCATAACCCTCCAAACCCTGAATTCCATCCTGAATTTCTCACAACTCTATTTCCTTTAGAACCACTGGCCCCAATCTCTCATGTGGAGCAACAGAGCTCTCATGGGACAGATGAGAAGGGCTGCTTGTCTTCTGTACCGCTCTGTGACGAAATGCATGGGTTGTGCAGATGCGCTGTGTAGCCACACGGGTCACTAGTTCTTATTTTCCGGGTAGGGCTTACATTGCTCAAATGCTTAGAAATCCTGCTAGGGCTTATTTTATGGATAGGTCTTATTTTCGGGGAAACACGGTACTAACCTATTACCTGGCTTCTGCAATCATGCTTATGTATTGAATCAGCCACCTGAGACCCTCGGACCACTCCAACCTAATAAAAGTGGGAAAAACCAGGTAGACAGGGCTCAGAATTTGGTGGCGAGACTCCTCTGAGCCCGCCCAGGAATAAACCTTGATTCCCTGACTCTCCGTGTGCCACTGGGTTTGTCCTCGAAACTACCTGCTGTAACCCTTGCGGTAACATTTTGGGAACGGTTACACTGGGAAACTGCTGCACTGGCCCCTTGAAGCCACCGTTCAGGGAATGGTGCCGTGGCTGGCGGGACCTCAGCTACAGAAGGAAACGGGCGCCAACTGCCATTTTGTGGAATATCTTCACTCCTCAGGAGTTCCTGAGGCTCACAGGGTCCAAACTCGCCCGGACACACCCGAGGGACGGACAAATCAAATCAGGTATGGAGGCATTGGACCAGGTAAGGTCCCTGGACCCCTCTGAGTCAAGCCTGTGAGATGACGGAAGAAGAGCGTGATCACCTCCTGAGTGCAGGGAATTCCCAGGGTGGGAATGTGGAACCTCTGCCTGTCTGAATGAGTGAGTGAAGAATGAGTGAGGGTGACTGTTTGGTTCCAGCGCGACAGCTACGGAACCTGAGTGGGTCCTCACCTGTGGTTCTGTGGCCACCTCGTATGGCATAATGGTGATTCACTCCCCTCAACGGAGCGACCAGGCCTGGGGTTTATATGGGACACCTTAGAGTTCGAGACCAGCCTGAGCAAGAGCAAGACTTCGTCTCTACTAAAAAAATAGAAAGAAATTAGCTGGACATTAAAAGTACATAGAAAAAATTAGCCAGGCATGGTGGCACATGCCTGTAGTCCCAGCTACTTGAGAGGCTGAGGCAGGAGGATCGCTTGAGCCCAGGAGTTTGAGGTTGCTGTGAGCTAGGCTGATGACACGGCACTCTAGCCTGGGCAACAGAATGAGACTCTGTCTCAAAAAAAAAAAAAAAAAAAGACCCTATCTCTACAAAAAAGTTAAAAATAAAAAAATTAGCTGGGCATGGTGGTTCTAACCTGTAGTCATAGCTACTGCAGAGGTTGAGGTAAGAGGATCACTTGAGCCCAGGAGTACGAGGTTAAAGTGAGCTATGATTGCACCACTGCACTCCAGCCTGGGCAACACAGCAAGACTCTGTCTCTGAAAAAAACAAAGAGAGTTAGTCCTCGGTTCTGACTCAGCTTCTAAAGTCTTTTAATTTCCTTTAGTTCAAAGTGCTCAGCATGCCAAAAATACCATACTCCAGGGTATTGTTTTCTGAGCCCCAATACTTTTACTAGCTATCTGTGGTATAACTGTATTTCAGGTAAGCAGAAAAAAGCTCATGGCCTCTGTAGTCTTCCTATTTCCAAAGCTCAGCTAGGGCTTTTTCTTTGGTTCTTTTTCTGAGCTTAGGCAGGGGACATTTAAGCTCACAGTTCAGAGATTCAATTACAAGTCACTCTTGCTACAATCTTTCCTGATCTTGCATTTTTCTTAGGGTCACTGGAGCAGTATTTGGCTAATGTGCCTGTGAACACTGCCGACTCCCCCTAAGGCCAGAGCACTACTTGCTTCTGCTGGTAGCCTTTCCTGCTGGTGACTGACTGTGTCCAACTGAGTTTTAGAGGACTGACTGCCGCTGGATTCCTTGTCACCATATTGACATGGTATACTTCCTCAATTGGACCTTGCCTGTGCCAACAATAACTTTGTCTTTGTATGAATATGATATTTTACTTGCCATATTATATTAGAGATTAAGTCCTTAAGAAAGTCAATACCCATCCTTGATGTAGTTAAGATCTTTGCCAGTGTTTTCTACTTTCGTTCTACTTATCATTCAACTTTCTTAGCCCAAACATTTTTTAATGTAAAAAAAATGCATTAATACAGTACAGGCTTCAGGTTTAGAAAGCCTGTCTTTAGAAAGTTACTGACCTCAAAACAAATTATGAATAAATTCCCCAAAGTAGGATGAACTAAGAGTAATTTATATTCATATATAAACACAATTATAATATAGATACAGCTGCATAACTAGAATGAAATGTAATATAAATGTGCCAAAGAGAAGAAATCATAGAAGATGTACAAAACTTACATGAAACAAGAAAATATTCAACTATGTATTAATAATAACCAAAGCTTCATTAACTTGGCAGTCTTGGGAATCTAAAAAGTGAGGTAGCCCAAGCCAAATTCCTGTAGTGTTACAGTTCCTCCTGTACCAGCCCAGGCAATTAGCAATGAAATCGGAGTAGGGGTAAGCCCTGCATGTTTTGAGTAGTGTGTCAGACAGGTGAAAAACAGCAAAGAGGTAATTCTTTATTCTTGAGAGCTTCCTTGTACAAATGATTAGCTTCTGCATGCAGTTGGAGGAGAAACAACCTAATTAAAATGTCTTTATTTATTTAGAGACAGGGTCTTACTCTGTTGCCCAGACTGGAGTACAGTGGCATGATCATAGCTCACTGTAGCTTTGACCTCCTGGGCTCAAGTGATCCTCCTGCCTCAGCCTCCCCAATCACTGGGATTACAGGCATGAGCCACCCACCAGCTCCTAAAATGTCTTTTAAACCCTGCACAAGCCTGAGGCGGGAGGATTGCTTGAGCCCAGGAGTTTGAGACCAGCCTGGGCAACATGGTGAGACCCCTGTCTCTAAAAAAATAAAATAAATAAAAAAATTTTTAACAGTCTAAGCTATATGACTATACATTAAAGCTTTGAGGAATGGGAAAAAGAAAAAAAAATCTATAAGGAAAACATCAGCTTATTTCCCCAGGGAATGAACCGAACTTCATTCTCATTCCAGCATGGGGCTGCTGGGCACTTGGCGCCTTTCACTCTGGGTAGAAAACAAGTCCCTGAGTTGCTACTGAGCCAAACTTTAAAGGCCAGTCAGGAAATGAGCAGCACTCCCAAATGGGAGAGACTGGATGAATGTTTTTTTTCTAAAGTAAACAAAAGATCTGCAAAAGTATTTCCTTGCACTATTTGGCAAGAGAAAGAAGCACCTGGAGAGTGAGTTAGGAAGAGAAAGCATATAAGAAATGGGAGTAAAACAAGGATAGTTATAATGAAGCTTTGTCTCCCTAATCTCCAGAGCCCAGGTGTTCTATTAGGAAACCAAGCTGCAAATGAGGAGACACTCAGAGAGCTGCTTGATTAAGAATACATTCATGGGAAGGATAAACAGAATACTTTTCTGAATCCTGAATTTCATCTTTCATTTGGATTTCTAAAAAAAAAAAAAAAAACCTTGAAAAATATCTTCTAGGAAGTCAAAGGAAAATGTAAATATTAAAATAAAGGAGGGCTGTGAAGGAAGAAGTATGAGCAATGAGAAAAGCAATTATCCTTGGAGGCAGAAATTTCTTTCTTGCTTCAGTGCAGCATGTGATGCCGGCAATTTCAGCCATTCTCTTTCAGGTGATTTTCAGTGAGTTCCAAATGCTGCTTGGGGGGACGCTGTTTCAGTTCGCCTGAGGGAGCAGGGCACAGCTAAAGAGGTAGGGAGAGCTACCACATTCTTCAGCGGAGCAATCTGTTCAGCGAGATAGCCTCAGGAGGAAGACAAGTTACTCTCAGGAGGCAGAAGGTGAGAGAAATGAGGCAGCAATTACATGGTGTTGCTAGTACTAAGTACATTGCATTAAAAAAAAATTTTTTTTAAACCCACTAATGCGATGGACTCAGCAGTATCTCTTCATTAATTTTTGGAAGTCATACCATTTTAGTGCTTTTTTCCCCAGTGAAAAAGCCTTAAAAGCCCAAAGGGTGACAGCCCTTCCCCAACGTTTGTTTTTTTTCTAAACAACCAATACTTGATATATAAAGATTAACTGAGGAAAAAATTAATCCCTGCCTTTTCTTCAATGAACTAGGAAGTGTCACAAAAAGGAGTAATGGATCGAAAAACATTGCCAAAGAATTTTTGTAAGCATAACAAAATTCAGTTTTCCTGGACCAAACCTCATCAGCCCAAGTAAGAGAGATGGATGCTTGGGGCTTTTTAGAAGGCAATCAGAGGCTCATTTTATTTGATAGGCAAAATCTGATGGAAGCGTTTTTTTTTTTTTTTCCCCCTGGGGCCCAGGCTCTGCTCTACCTGCTGGAAAAAATCAAAGATAAAGACCCAGATCACTGGGATGCCAAGGACACAGCTACTTGGACACTGTTTGTGACTATTTGAAGTCAATGTGTTCCTATTGATTTTTTCCCCCTCTTTATGTAAGGTTAACGTGTATTTATTCATTCAGCTGCCTCTAGCTGTTCTTTTCTAAAGGTTAAGTGGTTGTGAAACCACAGGCACAGTAGAATCAAAAGTTGTTTTAAACTTTTGGCCAAGTAGTAGTGCCTGGTAGATTACCTCTGACGAGCTCCAGGGGCAGCTGAGGGTGGGCTCTCTGACTATCTGGGGGTTTCAATGGCTCCATCCATCTCATGCCAACCTGACTTGTGGGACTTAGGGTTCCTGTGCTCTGAGACACTTGGAGATGATGCTCAAGAGAGCTGTGCTCTGCGGCCTCCTGGGCCCCTCCTGCAGGTGCACTTGCTGTTTCAATTTGATGCTATTTTTCTTACCCTCTGTAGGAACTCACACAAAGAACTATTATTACTTGCTTGTTGCTGCATGTTGCTGATTCATACTCAAAGGAAAAAGTAATTTTGTCTTCAACACCTCTTCCCTGTCATTTAAGGCATATGTTAATGAAAGACAGATTTTGGCATCCACTCTCCTCTGTAGCTCTGAGGCCACAATATAGACTCATTATAAATGAAGACCCAACTGTTATTTTACTTCTATTTATATTTATAACTACACTAAAGCCATCTTGCAGGTACTTTTGTGCCTATTAAATCCCAAACCATATTCCAAGAAATGCTCAACATTTCATGCCCGAATTGGTATTAATGTGGCATTAATGTACATACAAGGTTTTAAATAGAGATGTTTTCACTCATATTTTATTACTGACACCTCCTGATTTCACATATTTTAGATTATGCTAGAGCTGAATCCTTTTGAAGACATTTTAAGGGCTTTTTCCCCCCCTTGCAGTACAGCATGGTTTTTTTTTCTTCAAGTAAGGAGTATGCAAGTGATGAGCGCTCTGCAAGGAGGGGTGCCAAGTGGAAGGCTGAAGCCTGGAGGGGGTGGGGCGGAGCAGAACCAGGCATAGGCAGAATGCTGAAAAGAACTGATTGAAAGCTTTTTGCTTTGTCATTCCTCTCGGTTCCTTTCCCCTTCCTTCCCAATTTATAACTTTGGACAAGTGCAACCTATTTATTTCACAGAATGACTAGATCTAGAATGCACCCTAACCTTGAAGGTCATCTGAATCCCTTGCTGTAGTTCTCCGCTTGATTAGATTGCTCTCTTTCTTCTCTACCACCTTTCCCGGCAGCATCTGAGCCTATCACTTAAACATGCAGCAAGGAGAGTAGAGGTTTTAGAATCAGAAAGTTCTGGGTCCAAATTCTGGCCTCCCCCCCCCTACTTACTAGCTGTGATAGCGCAGGCAAGTTAACCAACAACTCAGAGCCTCAGTCTCGTTTGCTAAGTGTTTATCATAAAATCGAATAGGAGTTTGAGGATTAAATGAAGTAACCTGCATGGTACATAGAAAACTTAGCACTCAGACCTAAATTCAGAATAGCTAAGCGGCTCAATAGTAAGTAGGACCCATGCTTCCTGTCTGACTCCGAGGCAATACTTTTTCTGATACTGTCTTT